TTAGATAATAGTATTCTAACAATACTAATTTCCTGATTTTGATAACATACTGTAGTTATGTAAGAGAATGTCCTTATTTTTTAGAAAATACACTCTGAAGTATTTAGAGATAAAGGGACATCATGTTTGCAACTTACTCTCCAATGATTTATTAAAAAATTCATGCATAAACACAGAGACAGACAGAAGTATAATAGTAAATGTTAACATCTGGAGAATTTGGGGGAGGAGTTCTTTGTACTATTCTTGTAACTTTTCTGCAAATCTGAAACTATTTCAAAATAAAAAGTTAAGAAGAAATGTTCTCCTAATCAAAACCTTTTTAACTTCTCTTTTTAAATTACTTCCTAAAATCAATTTATAAAAGTAAAATTAGCCCCATCACTATAGAGTTGTACCTTGCTCTTCCAAACAATAGTATTATCCAGTTTGTTCATCCAATTTATTCAACAGAATCACTTCTAATGGTGCTAGGGTGTTTTTAAAATTCAAATCCATTCTCATATGTCAACATCATTGCAGATATTCACACAAGTAGTTTTCAGACTCTTTAGGAAATCCCCAAACGAGTTTGCAAAAGGTCTTGAGTGATGTTGCATCATTTCAGTAAGTATGAAGATACCCAACACACGGAAAGAATTACTACACAATGCTTTCCCTCAATCTTCACTTCTGAACTAAAGGAAGCTCATGCTTCAGCTACCTGTTTCAGGAGAAGATCAAACATGAGGATGAAACAATTTAGATTCATTTCATCATCTTCACAATCAAAGTCAATAGTCCTTCCTCCTGGGTGTCCAAAATTCTTGAAAGGGCTACGAAATGGACTACGCATAGGACTCCGAAATGGACTCTGGAAAGGACTATGAAATGGACTGAGCATATTGTGCTGAACTCGTCGGCCAGGATCAGAGGCAACACTCACCTACAAGAAAAAATGTCAACACATACACGTGAACTCACGGAAGCTCAATGGCTGTATAAAATAGTTGGGGACTCTATGGGAGGTATCTCCAGCTGTCACATGGATTTCCTTCCTTAGTCAATAGCATTAATGCTTCCAAATACTATGGATCCTCTAAAAACATAAAAATAAGAAATAAAACCACCTAAATTTTTGACTAATTGACAGGGAATGAAACATCAGGGATGTTTCATTCTGAAGAATGAAGGCATTTGCCATTATATTTTTCATCTCATCAAACATTTCCAATTAGACCAGATTGTCTGAATCTACTAAAAACCATAACCTGAAAAATGCAGATGTAAAAAGGTAAAATACTGCAAGATAATCTTTAGAATCCTAAGCACAGAATCTAGGATTGACATGATTAAAGAATGGCCTCTGGGGATTATAATTATTGAAATATTGTGGGAAAACAATATACGTCAAACCTATTGTACTGGTTATTCTCCATTTGCCCACCCCATCCCAACTCCAGGCCCTGACTCCCCTCCTCTGCCCTGCTCTATGCCCAAGGATGCTGTGGATGAGTCTCCTCTGGCTCTGCTGCTGCCTGGCTTCCAGCTGGGGTCAGTCAGCGGGAGGCACCAGCAGAAGAGCTGAAGCTGGAGCAGGGAGAGGCAGAAACATTTCTGCCCACCCTGCCTGCTTTGGTGCTACATCTCTGGGATTATCTCCATCACTCCACATACAGCCTCTCTTGCCAGCCCTTTCTCGTAGTTTCAGCTCCCAAATGGCTCCAAGGGTTCTTTTCCTTGTTCCTTCAGCCCTAGGGGTACGGTGGCTTCCTACTGGACTGTTGCTGGTCCCTGGGTGCCTCATCGACCCCTACTGCTCCTTTAACCTTCCCCATTACCCTATTGGCAGCCTCTCCATTAAAGTCTCTTCATTTTAACCATCTGGGATAAATTCTGAATCAGGACACTGATTGACATATCTGTACATCACTCTCAAATCATATTTTTCTCTCTTAAAGATCTTTCTAATAAATAGAAAGCTACTCCAACATCATTTTTAAGGTAAAGAGGATAAGTACCCCATTAAGAATCTGAATACCCAGCTATTGATAGTGTTATCTAGGGGACATCACTTCACTTCACTGAGCATCAGGTTAGGCAGCTGCAAAGTGAGGATAATGAGTTCTTCTCTGACTGCCTCACACGATCCTGTGATATTGTTCATTGTGAAACACATCACATAGAATACAATGTGTACAAAGTAATGTCATTTTAAAGGTTATAGAAGAAAAGAATAAAATACAAATGGTTGGTAGCTGGTTTCTATCAGGCAGAAGAGAAAAGAAGTAGTGATATATTTTTTAAAATGCTAAATACTAACTATGATCCCATGATCACGTCATATTTTCTAATCCTTAGATATCAAGTGGGATACAGTGGGGAAAATTCTGTAGAGAATTGAAAACATTTTTTGCCAACCGTCACATGAGAGTCAACCTTTCTAAAACTGATCATGGTCTGAGAATGTCAGTACATCAGCAGAAACTCTATCAGGTCCTCCACAGGAAAATTATCAAAACCAGCACTTTTTATATACTTCAGACTAGACTATATGGACTTTTCTCATCTACAAAGGTGCAAAGGGATCCACAAAGCAGGCTCAGTTGGTTCACAGTGACAGCATCATTTATAGTCACCATCAGTTGATCATGTCTTCCCAAAAGTCAATGGCAAAAAAAAAAAATCATCCAAGTTCCTCAATCCCGAAGTGAAGCATTGATCTGCCCAGTAGCTGGTAAAGAATTCTGTTCACGAGGAGACCAAAAACATGAAATGTTACCCAAAAAACTACTGTTTTTCCTTTCATTAAGGGTGAGAGAGAGCTAAAATTCAAACAGCTTAAAAGGAAATGAAAACTCGGTGACTTACTAATTAGACTATAACAAACATATCTTACATAAATGTGTTCTTATTTGGTGTAACTAAAAGAGGAACAGAGTCAGATAGGATGCAAGAGCATTTTTAGAGAAGCTTCTTATGATACCACTTTCAGGCCTGGTATAACTGACAAGGGTTTTCAAAATCTTAACCAGGAAGACAGGAACAGTGTGGCAATAATTACCCTTCGAGATGCAAGGTTCCCTGCCAGTTCACTGACTCTTGATTTTCTTTGATTTGCCAGTTCTTTGACAGAATTAACTCCATCAGAAAACATGCTTATTAATAGTTGAAGTGGAACCATGATATCTAACTCCGATAATACCTAGGGAAAAAAAGGCACATATCCCCCCCCAAAAAAAACACGTAAACTTTAAAACTCAAAAAAACTACATTTTTTTCCCAAAGCAAACTATTGAACACAAGGACATTTAACCCTACACATATTCTATCAGCACAATCATCTTCAAATTTTTGTACTAACAAAATCAAATTTATCATTGAACCCTCCCTTTTCCCCACCCCCAATATCCAGTAGGCCACCATGTTTTTTCTATGAAAACTTGTAAGTTTCTCTTGATGCTGTCTCCTCTCCATACCCACTGCTTAGTGCCTCAGTTCACCACCTTTCTCCTGGATTAGCACAGTCTGCGAGCAACCTTCCTCCAGCCCATCCTCACTCTGATCTGAATGCCCCATCCATCTTGCTCTCTAGTATAAGCTGAATGTCCTTCCGGGTCAAAATCAAGCCACTTTATCGGTAATGAATTTTCTGGAAATAGATGCCTCCTTCCTTCAGAACATAATTAATGCATCCCTCTTCTCTGCTTTCTGATCATTTTAATGCATACCTTTATTAGAACAATTATCACTTTTTGTTATATTTAATTATCTAACACTACTCTTCCCACTGTGAGCTGCTCGAAGAAAGGAAGTATGAGGAAAGGACCATTTCCGATCCCATTTTTATTCCAGTGCCTATTATAGTTCCTGGCAGATAGGAAGGAGCTCTGTACATGTTTCCACAATTAATTAACAAATAAGTCAACTCCAACCACTGCAGAGTCCACTCTAGCCCCCAAATGGTTAGGCCAGGGCTTTAAAACCTCCTTCAACTGCAGCACTCTGTCTTACAAACCAAAGCTATATCAAAGCCTGGTGTGTAAAACGTACAAACTGTACTGCTCTAGCTATAGCAGAGACAGAGTTTTACAGCCCTGCTCGTTCATCCCCAGGTGGCACAGCAAAGGGGCGTGTAACTTGGGCAACGTCTAGCCATCTCTAGAAAGACTGGCTTTCTGAAAATGAGAATTATCTTATTCAGATCTATTTTGGGATTTAAAAAATGAAAATTCTGGATCCCAAAAGTGACTTTTAAAAGAAACAGTCCCTTTTCACTTTGTCAGTTGTGAAAAATATTATTCCTTAGTTTCGAACCCAGAAAGACATCTTCTCAACGTGAAGAGCTTATGAGATCCCATCCTTGCACGACACAGAAATGAATGTAGTTGTACCCACAGCTGATCTGAACATTGATTCTGTCTGCATTTTCTGAAACTGCCCAAATTTTATATCAGGTACGCAACTCAATTTTAAAAACTTTTATTGAACATCCACTAAACACAAAGCATGCGCCAGACGCTGGAGGAAGGATAAAGAGGGCTGTAAACTCAAAAATGAGACCTGGCCCCTGCGTTCAGGAACCTTATAATCAGGGAAAGAAACAGACAAAACTAACTATAAGACCGAAATAGAACAGAATTCACACAGAGAACCTGAATAAATCCTGGAGGAAGGAATTCTAATGGAAAGATGGGAGTGCAAAGTAGCAGAAAGCTTCACAGAGGAGATGATTTTGGAGTTGGGCTTTAAAGGGTAGGTTGGGAGTTCGCAAATGAAGACAGGACAGAAAGTCATTCTCAGCTGAGGGAACAGCATGAACTACTCCCTAAATTAGCAGTTCCCAACCTTCCCAAGTGAAGGGCCTGTTTCATATCAAAGATTTATCAGAATCCCACGAGACAGCTATTATATTATCCTTCTAGTATCCACTGATGGAAAACTACATAAGGACCAAAAGCTACTATGAATTCAGTGCTACTATTGCATAAATTTGTATTCTATTAACCACAACTAGAGCTACATACATCTGAAATTTAGTCATTCATCTATGTATATGAGATATTAGTCTACAGACAGTCCTCAGCAAACATAGGGACTTACAGACTCTTTGCAGTAACTTCCTCCCACTCTACCCAGGGATCTAAACTCGTAGGCTAAGAACGATTGTCCAAAATGATTAAAAGTATCATTCACTTACATGAAGCCACAGTAAAGCTTGCTCCTGTACAGAGGAGGGGTATCCTGTAAATCGACAACTAATAAAGCCAAACATCTCTTCCATTGAGAAAGGCAGAGGACAGAGCTCAATGTCAAACATTTTGCTAGAAAGCAGAGCAATAACAGTAAATGACCAATGTGCATAGATTAGGATTTACTGATGCCACCAAAGTATCTCTAACTATGCCCTGTGTGGGGAGTCAAACCCTTCAGATTAGTTTGTGTTCTGAACTGTTATTAGCATGTCTCATTTTACTGTAAGAGAATAGTTTATGTCATTGAAATAGGTATTTTACAAGTAATGAGTATTCAGCCTCCTGTTAGGTTAGACGGAAGGAATTGCATTTCTAAGGACTTGGAGTTGTCCCCCAGCACCTAAAACCACTTCCCCTTTGCACTTTCCCACCATAACCCCCCAATCACAAGTATGTTTGAAAATAAGCAAACAATATGGTGTATCTACTATTCCACAAGAACAAAATCTTTTCTGGACAATGCCAAATCCTCTCAGCTCAATTTATGACAGTTATTTCACTTTGAGGCTTCAAATTTCTCCACAGGATTGTTAAAAAAGTAAATGAGATTACATAAAATGCTTAGCAGAGTGCCTGGCGCACAGTATATTCTCAATAAATGTTAGATATCGTTATAATTACAGCGACTTCATTAAACTACTTACCCACCTTAATACTTCCCTGAATTCTTTTAACTGATTATCTGGGACTTCTGTTCTGATGGCTTCCAGCCATTCGGGCATGATACACTCCCACACAGATTGACTGATCACATTGTAGGGGATCAGGCAGAGGATTCGGTTGAGACCTTCCTTCAGCTGAGTCACTGTGCTGCAGGACTTATCCCAGTAGCCACCAACCTGATGGGGTTTCCATAGCCACAGGGAAGAAGATGAATGAAACACACTTGTTAAAATTATACTCAAGGACTTCCTAAAATAAATGGGTCCAAAGAGAGGCCACAATCTGTTACATCTGAGTCCTGGGCCAAGAATCTTCAGAGTGAGATTTATTTGTAAGAATCTACAAACCATCAGCATCCATCACTCATAAAAAGGAAAATATAGTTACAAATACATCCAAATATTGATCACAGATGGAAATTGAACTTTTGCTGCAGACTTTCCAAATCACACTTGAATTAAAATTTCAAAGATTGATTCCTAACAAGATGAGCATATAATTGGAGCATTATTATTCCTAAAGTGTGATAAACTCATTATAATATATGCAGTTATACCTGTCCTTCAGAAGAACACAGTTTTCTACTATGGTACACGTGGAATTGCAGATTTTTCATTACGAAAAATACAGTAGTGCAGAGAACGATTTTTCCCTATGCTGCATATTCTGCCATAATTTTTCTTCCTAAGAATGTTCTGAAGCTGGTTGGATCTATGAGTAAAAAAGATTGGCTTTTTTACTAATTAAGATAATACATTAATTTTCTGGAGCAGGAAAAAATTAAAACCATGAATTAAAAAATTTAGGTTGCTAATAACCCTGATGCTAAAGATCCTATATTCTTATTGTAATCGTCAAAGTAATGAAGGAAATCAAAATATTTAACTCTAAAATATATTTCTTTGACATATTTTGGGATGGCCATCAGAGAGGCAGCAAGCAGAAGCAGCCCTGCAAAGCTGCCTTTTGCGGTGGGGATTTGCATCTGCAGAGAATATGCATGATGCAGCCAGGCCTTTCCTTGTCCAGATCTAGTAAGATTAACTGAGCCTGACACCCTTCAAGGTCTGAAAGAAATAATTTATGGTCTATTCTCTCTGAAGCTACCACCTGTGAGGTTTCAGCTATGTAACAAGACCACTTCTGCCAGCCAAGCCTCCTCTTCTCTCCCTCCCACAACCACATAGTGTCTTGCCACTATAACCTGACTTACCACTTTAATGTGTTTTTGGCCATGCTCTGAGCCCCTTTCTATTCTTTCTAGAACTTCAAGATGGTATAAAAGCTTCTGCACCCAGTTGGGGGTTGGACAATCACTCTGTGGTTCTCTCCATGCACAAATTAATAAATTTTGTATGCTTTTTCTCCAATTAATCTGCCTTTTTTAAATTGATTTTTCAGCAAAACTTCAGAGGGTAAAAGGGAAGTTTTCCCTTGGACCCAGCAGTAACGAAGGGTTCACTGGTCCTGAGTCTTGACCATGTAACACAAGATTTGTGGAAAACTACCTTATTTTAAATGAATTCAATTTTAAGTGTTTATTACATCTAGAATTTCAGATGATGCAAAAAAATCATTCAGTTCTATTTCAAAGCTTGAATATCTATTTGGTGCCATATTGAACAAAATCCTAGATGACTGACTAAATATAGTTGAGGAAGTGACTGTATTTCCAGGATTTCTGTTGTTGTTGTTGTTGTTAGTTAGTTATAGGAAGAGAAGAACCAGCATTGATAAAGTTGAGATCCTGAAATGTATTGTGAACTAAATATAAAATCTTAATCTCCCCAGCTGACTGAATGGACCCCTCTTGGCAAAGGAGATTCCAGAAACCTAAAGCTGAGTCGCTGGCCATGAGAAGGCAGGTCAGACATGCCTGTCATGCCCCTCTCTCTTCTTGGAGATGATATCCTTTATAACACCCTTAAGGCTTAAGATAAAACTCAAAACACACCTGCAGCCCATCAATTTACTCAACAGATCACTTGAGTTTCCTAATTGTTCAGTAGCTGGTCTCCAATTAACAGACATCTTTTATCTTAAGTTAAAACATTCCAAGCCTTTAAGCAAAGCTTCATTGTTTTAACCAATTACAAATCAAAGAATCTGATAACTTACAAGGGTGGGTTATAGCTTTCCATTGAAACATAAATTTAAGGTTTTCTTTTTTTTTGAGACACAGTCTCACTCTCTTGCCTGGGCTAGAGTGCCATGGCATCATCCTAGCTCACAGCAACCTCAAACTCCAGGGCTCAAGCGATCCTACTGCCTCAGCCTCCCGAGTAGCTGGGACTACAGGCATGCGCCACCATGCCCAGTCAATTTTTTTCTACATATTTTTAGTTGTCCGATTAATTTCTTTCTATTTTTAGTAGAGACGGGGGTCTCGCTCTTGCTCAGGCTGGTCTCGACCTCCTGAGCTCAAACGATACACCCGCCTCGGCCTCCCAGAGTGCTAGGATTACAGGCGTCAGCCACTAAACCCAGCCTAAATTTAAGTTTTTCAAAGGCATACCTGTTCCAAATGTGATTCAAAACCAAAAAGCTTTTCTCTCTACAATCACCTGCATTTTGATCAAAGATAATTAAATTAAATTTTTTTTCTTTACAAAATTAGACTCATTAAATTTGTCTGATCATTTACGCAAGTGCAGTAAAAATAGTAATTGATCACTTAGGGCTTTTTAAAGTTTGTGTTGCCAGAACTTTTATAAGGAATCTCAGATTGTACTTTTAGAAGTCTCTTGATGCTAACAGCCAAGCTAAGAACTATTCATCAGACTTTGTCTATGATATGTATAGGTTTGGGTTAATTCCTGTCTTCTTGAGGTCCCCCAAATATTCTAGGGTTCCTGGGCCTGACAGGAAATGACCCTCCTTACTCATCTGTAAGACTGTGAACTCCATATGCCAGGTACCAGGGTAGCTTTTCCAAGAGGGCTTTGAAAGCACTGACCCTATAAAGTTAATCTTAGTTCCTTAAGACTGTCTGGTCGTATCTGATCCTATACACGTTCTCAGATATGACATTCCGCAAAGTCTTGGTAATATGACCAAAAGTTCCCAATTATTTCCTGTTACAAAGAGAACAGGTGCTTACTCAACTTATGCAAATAACTATAATGCTATGAAAATAAGAATATTCAATAAGAGTTTCTGAATTCTGGAGGAATCAGGAAGGGAGAAAAAAGATATATGTTTCATTTTTGTTTACAAAGGTACAATCTACCAAATTGTCGTGAGTTATAGATAGCTTAGGAGAAAAGAGAAAGGGGTTCCTTATATTCAGAAAATAGAACATTAAACAACCAGCAACATTCCTAAAAAAAAAAAACCATAAAGATTATAATTATTCTTTAACAGTTCATTCAGTCCTATGTAATTCATCTTGTTCTACTTGATTGAGTTAGCCATTTTATGAATCCACTTACAGATTTTTTGAGATTGAATCACTTTTGAGGTATTTTTCACCTCTTTGTAAACTGGATTCTGTCATTTGCACATTTTGTCAATAATTAATGTTCCCAATTTTTCACCCGCCCTCCTGATGTGGCATCACTGAGAAACTAGAACCTAACTGTCCAGATCATTATTAAGACTCTAGGTTGCCTTGTCCCAAAGTCCTACAAGCTGAAGCTGGACAATTTGATATAAATTTCAAAGGACTTATTACTACAACAGGTTGGGCCACTCAGGAAGTTCACCAAACACCCACAGCTTCCATGCTCTGCTCTGGGAAATAAACCCAACTGTGACAATGATGTTCTCACTCTACCAACTAAACACACCTCGAGCCCAACATCTAGAAACCTTCTCAACTTGCTGAGAAAGTAGATTTATAATCTATCCCGACCATTAATCTATTTTTCCTTTTGTCCCCTCGTTCTAATCTATGCTGCTTTTCCCCTTTGCTGATTTCTTACCTCACAATTTCTAACCTAAATCTTCTCTCCATAGTAATCAACCTTGCTTCTTTTTTCTATGTGTGAAACTTCCAAAGAAGTTTCATATCGAAGAAATGTTGGAATCTGCTCAAACCCTCAGAATTGGTATACAGATTATTTTAAAGGGAAAACATTTGAGCTAAAGAAGATGCAGAAAGAGAGCTGATCTGAACTTCCATTATCTGACTAAAGTAGAGCCTCCGGAAAATACACCTCCATTAATCCCTCCCCAAAGGGAATTTCCCATTAATTCAACTGCCACGGAGATAGTTCCTGCCCAGCTCCAACAGTATCCAAGAGCCCAGTAGAACCTTCCATATCTTCTCCCTGAAGCTCTTAAAAAAAAAAAAAAAAAACCTTTGTTAAGTTTGATATCTAAGTCTTTTATCTCTGGCTGTTCAGGAAGTAATTCATCACTGAGATCTCCCACGTGTACTCAAAAATAAACTTTGTCTTCTCTCCTGTTAATCCATCTATTATCAGTCAATTTGCAGGCTCCCAAACACCGGACCTAAGTTGGAAAAGGAAAAGTTTTCCTCCCAACATAATCGTTTCTTCTCAACTTCCAGAATCAGATCACACTAATTCTTTACTATTCCAAGAGAAATAGTAATAGAAAACATATCAAACACAGTCAAAGAATGCCAGAAATTGGGAATTTTCCATTATGCAAAAATTCCATTTTATAAGTGAGTCAGTAGGTGGCACCAAAGAAGAAAGAAGTATATCTTGATAAACACTCAGATCACTCTGAGTCCTGGAAATCCAACAAAAGCTACTCCTCTAGATGATCTGTGTTCTGTTTTAGCCTTAAATGTCCTATTTTAGCACAGTTTGAAACTGAAAACTGCCTCAAGACCTCTTTGAAAGGAAACAAAATATCACAAATAAAAATAAAACTTAGAAAGTACTTTGAAAAAAATTTTATGTATTGCTGCCAAAAACTGATTCTGAACATCCACCTTTCCGGGTTAGGCACAAATTATAATATATCATATTCAAGAAAGATGGGGTCTTTCCAGCTGTGAACCACTGAGACAGAAGCAAGAGGATAAGCACAGAGAAAGCCGTTCTATAAGCCAGAGGAATAGGAGCATTTTGGTGGTCCCTGAACCTTTTTGGCATTTTAAATGACAGGGCAGGGA